TGAGCCATGCCTCCAGTCGTTTTGCTTTTAGTTTATTTTCAGATAGGATCTCACGCTTTTGCCCAGACCAGCCTCTGACTGTGATTCTCATATCTCTGCCTCCTGAGCAACTGGGACTCTGTTGCTTCTTGTATATCCTACAATTTGTTTTATAAAAAATGACGTTGTATTATTTAGCACATACATATTCTCATAACTTAGATCATAAAGTGTCATCTTCTGTCTTGCTTAATTGTAGGGACCTGAAAACCCTCTCATCTAACATTGTGTTTCTGCTTTCTCTTCATTTGCATTTGCCCAGCACACATTTTTGCAATTTTTTATTCAGCATTTATACATCTCTTTATTTTAGGGTCACATGTTGCTTCAAGATCTGGTTTAAATGTTGTAATAAGTAACTGATGTTACATGTATTGATATGACAGATATTTTTGATCTGAGTTTTATATATTCCATATATAGATAGTCATGTACATTTCTAGTTTCATTGTTTTTTTTATTTATATGGTCTGTTTGTCTCTGTCTCTGTCTCCCTCTCTCTCTGTCTCGATCTTGATCTTGATCTCTCTGTGTGCATAATTCTTCGATAAGCAAGGGTGATCAAAGCTTCTGCTCTAGTATTATAAATTTATATATACTTTTCCATTCCTCTATGTCTTTAGGGGCAGTATTAATGGGTACAAGATACTAGAAATGACAAACTAATCAAACTTCATATTTCTCCTTTTCCTCCATCACCTAGGTTTAGGCAATACTGTCTTAATGTTTACTTTTCAATGTTTTCGTATAATTTGCTTATACTCTTATATGTAATTTGCCAACTTAAAAAGTCTGTGAACTCCATTTATTTTATAATATGATATGACAATTAGTGATTTTTACTCCACATCTTATCTTTCCTCATTCTCTAATTTTTGTCAGTTTTATCATTTCTACTTTTCTACATTTCTGTCAGTTTTTATCATTTCTATATTTTCAGCCTAACCCTTTCACTAGTTTTCATTTTGGTACTAAAATAATATGCACACAGGGTCCTTTTGCTGTGGTTTTCCCAGTGATTGACTCATTGGCTAAAGTTTATGACCTAAGAGTTCCCTCAAGACATCTCACAAGAATCTTTTTGCATCAACTCTTGAATGTGCATAACTGGCTAGCTGTTGCCTTTATACCTGAAGGGCAATCCTGTCTGAATATAAAATCCTGAGTCACTTCGTTCCCTTGATGATCCTATTTGTATTGCTTTCTGGTCTGTGGATTTTGAAAGTTGCGAAGAAATTGAAGCCACCTTGATTTATTTCCTATTTTAAATGGCTTAATTTTTTCATGGGGTGGGATGGAGTTTTGGGTAGTCACCCAAAGCATTCTTTCTTTATCTCTGAAGTAAAATAACTATTCTAGGATATATCTCAGAATTGACCAATCTGGGTCAGTTTTTCCTTACACACAGTGAACCTGTTCAATATGTATGTTCAAATATTCTCTCATTACAATGAAGTTTGATTAAATGATTGTGTTTCTTTTATTTCACTGTTTGGGTTGACCTCCTCAGAGACTCCAATTATACAAATGTTGGGTTTCTTTTCCCTGACTTCTATTACTTTTCCCTTATTCCTTTATAACTTTTCTCATTTCCATTTCATTTTGCTTGCTATTAGCATTTCTGTCCTCTATGTCTCTGTGTTTTCCTTGTGTCCATTATGCTTTTCCAATTTCATGTTTTCTTCTCTTTCTTTCCTGAGCTCTACCAACCCACAGTTCATCTCCACTTATCCTATCACTTCTTGAATTATTTACTCTTGCTTTCTATGCTTATGGCCCCATTTCTAAGAAGTTCACAGCAAAACATTCCATTATGCCTGCCCCTTGGCAAAACTGTTCTGGTGGACATATGTCTCCTATTGGTAAGTTTAATTTCTAATTTCCCTTCTTTTTTCCATAGGATTTTTAAACTAATGTTGCACCACTTCTTTTACTATTACTTGTCACTAAATAAATTGGAATTTTCTAGACTGACTCTTTCCTTCATTCCCACCATAGAGACAGCCTGCATCCTACAAATAGGAATCTTCTATGTGAGTCTTGTATGGCTTCACTTTCTCAGCTTCTCTGAATCAATTCAGGTCTAGGACACTTCTGTCATCAGTTTGAACCTGTCTCCAATGCTCTTTCTTTGGAAACAAAGGAGTTAACTCTCTATTTCATGGTGCAAGAACTTATTTTGAAACTATTTATTATGAAAATTTTCAGGCACACAAAAATAAAGGGAATAGATAATAAACTCCCATGTACCCATCACCTGTCTTAAATAATTATCAGCATTCTTCCATTTGGAAGTATATTTCACTGAAGATTTCTGAGTCGTCCTTGGGAAGCCCTTACTTATATTTTGGAGTCTGCGGATTTTATTTGTTTCCAACTTTTCTGAAAAATGGATTTTGTGGGTTTGAATGATTTCCAAGAAAAAAAGAGGAAAAATGCTGACTTATGCAGCCATGTTCATACTGGAAGTTCTAATAAAATACTTTTTAAATTTCCAACTGGTTGGACTTTTTGTTTAAACTTTTGTTATTAATTTTTCATTTTATTGCATTTTAATCTGTCTGGTATGATTTCTGCTTTTGGTAGCATTACTAAACTAAAATGTGATCAAATTTTGTAAGTATTCTCTGAACATCAGAAAAAATGTATTCTTTTATTTTTATTCTCTATTTTAAAGCTACAAGTTTAGCATCATAATAAGCTGCAACTTTAACTTATAGCTTTAAAAATATTTACCTTGTTATTCAGGTCTTTTATTTTCTTATTTATTGACTATGGCCAAAGAAAGACATATCACAATCTCTACTTCAACTTTAATTTCTGTCACTCTGTGCTTTTATTTGTGTGAAGTTATTATATATTTATATATTCTGAACCACTTTGCTTTAAGTATTTCTAAGCTTTGGGAATCTTTTCATTAAAGTATATATCCTTTATTTGTGTAAAACACTCTGTTCTGTTTCCTTTGTTTTTTGCTTTAAATTATTCCTTCTTCCCTTACCTCATTTTGTTTGCCAAAATACTTATTTTTTAGCCATTCTAAGTTGTATTGTTTTAGATGTGTCTTTTGAAAGCAGTACAATGAATTTTGACTTTTAATATAACCTAAGAGCCCTTATCATTTGATAGAAGAATTTAATCCATTTTTGCTTATTAGGAAAGCTAATATATTTTGCTCTTTTTATACTGTGTTTTTTCTCTGATTTCTGTTTTGTAATGCGCTCTTGCTACATCCTTTGTTTTCTTTATTTTGATATTTCCACTATGAGTTGTTTTCTCTCATACTAATGATTTCCAAAATGTGTTATTTTTTCCTACCCATAGTGTATTCCATTCTCCCCATTATGCTATAGGCTATTTTTCAAAGACCCATGTTGTTGATAGTGGTTTTCTTCTGTTTACTTATCCTTAAAGGACTAGCATTCTTCCAGGTCTAGTTTTTCCCCAGAAATATTTTGAATGCCTTTTGCTTTGGATAGTCTATTTTCATTTGGATACTGCTGGAGACCTCCTCAGAGAGGTCAAACTGGAGGGCTGGGTGCCAGCTCAGCATCCGGCATCCTAGGAGCAGCAAGGGGCCGGGGCCAGGGCCACGGGCCACCCTGGCAGCAGCCCTCATTCTTGCTTGGGTTGTCTCATTCTTGGCAAGGCCACAGTACCACATGCCAAACCTAATGTGTCGGACCTTCTTCTTGGTACACAAATAGTTTTATGTCTCTGCCCAACCTCACACATCCAACACAAAGTCAGTGAAGAGCTTACTTCCTGAGGAGCCATTATTAGCACCTGTGGCCTCATCTCTAAGCAACCAGGTCTCCAGTTACAATTTACCAGGCGGCCTCCAGTACATCAGACACGACACTTGCCACCTTGAGAAACCACCCTCCCGAGTACTCACCAAGGGCTTTCAGCCAGTACAATCATCCAAAAGCCCAGCCACCCACAGCCTGACTGGCTAGCCTCAACCCTGACTTATCCAGTCTCCTTGAAGGAGTTCCTGGTCCCTTTCTACATCTCTAACAGCCTGTGCTCACCACTCACTCTCTACTATCCAGTCCTGGGGGTAAACATGTACTATGCAGAATCCCCCTCATTTACATTGCAGAAGTAGCAAATGAGGATACAGGATATCCAGTGGTATTTGAGTTTCAGAGAAATAAAAAATAATTCTGGATAAGTATTTCTCATATAATATCTAAAGCATACTTATATTTTAAAAAAATCATTCATTGCTTATTTGAAATTCAAATGTGGCCTGGCATCGCAACTCATTTGGAGACCAATTTTTGAGTCACCTTTGGTTATCTCTTTTAAAGTAGTCTACTTTTTAAAAGTATAATTGTATTTGTAGAAGTTCCTCAAAATACCAGAATTTGGCTGACTCATCCTTGTTTTTATCCATAGAAACAAGGTTCACTTATTTTTATATTTGGTAGGTAACTTCTATCCCAATTGTAGGAGTCTGGGGTCAGAGGTATATTCTCAAACTGACTTTATTTTAATACAATTTTTTCTATTATTAAAAAGTTCAATTAACACTAAAAAGGGATAGAATCACACCACAAATCCCTATGTACTCTCCAACACTTAAAATGTCAATAGTGTGCAATTTTAATAATTTTCAGAATTTGAACATTTTTCATAAGGTCACCCATATCATGTATCTTCCTCCTTACTTTTTTGGAAGGCAAAAAGGCATTTCGAAGAAAATCCCAACTATCATTTCACCTGTAAATACTTCAGTGTTTTTCAACATTCATCCGGAAATACTATCTTGATTATCTCAGCCTACATTGACTTTTTGCTCCAAATTGGTAGGGAACCTTTCTCATTCCAGTTAGTTCTACAGGATTTATCACCCTGGACATCATCTACTTACACACATACACACGCCTGTATCCCCCACTGCCCATCACTGGTGCCCAGTGACTAATGGACTGAAGATGAGTGAGAGTCCTCACCTTTAGAGTGTCAAAATCCTTCTCCAAGTAGGAGCCACACTTTTCACTCTCCCCTATGGAGGCAAAGAATTTGCTCCACCAGTCAATGAACTCCTCCTCCTGAGTGGGGAGAAAGAAAGAAAGCATTTAAGAAACAACTTGCCACCCAAGGTCCTTCTGAATGGTATATTTCCCAAGGTGGCCAACCTGGACTTGAAGACTCCCTGACAAGTGAGAGGATCAGGGAGCTGAAACCTCCTGCCTCTCCATGGACAAAGGCCTCACAGACTGGAGGAGAAAGGTTGAACTAGGTAGTGTTAGATAGAGGTTCTGGCCTGGCTCTGCTCCCATTTGCCTGTGTTTCTGTCAGACTCACGGGCCTCCCTTTCCTTTCTGTGAAGTGGGCATAATCTTTTTCATCACAAGGATAAAGTGAGGCTAAAATCAGTTTACTCCGAGGGAAGATGGCAGTAACATACTATTTATGAATAAAATGCAGTAGATTTGGAAAGCTCAGCTCCAAGAGACGTATCCTACCCCTCCTCTCCCTGCACTGGAAATCAAAACTTAAGATTTCCCAAGGTCAAATAAAGGCAGACCTGAAAATAGACAAATACTTTGTAAGTTCCTTTAATTCAAAAGACACTGGCAGGCTAGGTGTTGTACAGCATAGCTGTAATCTCATCTACTAGGGAAACTGACATCAGGTCAGCCTGGACAAAAGGTTAGCAAGATTCCATCACAACAAATAAGCCAGGTTTGGTGGTATGTGCCTGTGATCCCAGCCATGTAGGAGGCATAGGTAGGAGGATTTTGGTCCAAGGTCAGTCTTAGGCAAAAAGCACAGGAGACTATCCAAAAAAAACAAAACAAAAAAAAAAAAGACTGGAGGCATGGCTCAAGTGGCAAAGCCATGAATTCAAACCACAGTGCCACCAAAAAAAGGGGATGCGGAGACACTGCTAAATGTGGGGAATTTGGTAAGCAGAAAGGAAGTTGTGACAACTACTCACTCTCTGCCTTTTCCTTCCTTCCATCACTCATGTTTGCAGGAAAAGGTGGCCTCCTGTCTGCTGTGGCAAACATTGGCCTCTGTACTCCTTTTACTGCCTTTCGAGCAGGGTGTAGATACAGACTCTGCCAGCTCTCATCTAACAGCAGTGTCCTGCCTAGGTGTCGTGCCCTGATGCTCAAGGAGTCAGCAAGCCCCTGAAGGTGGATGGTTACTTCATCCAGGCCTGCCCCACAAACCTACCCAGGGTGGGCATTCAGGCCTGCCTCTCCACACCACTGAAGTTCATCAAGGTATTGGAAGAGCCCATTCTAGGATTCTGTATGAAGAGATGACCAGGAAATCTTCCAGGAGCTGTGCTAAATCTATACAATGAGCTGACTGTCTACCATGGAGTTTCCAAAAATTCTGATGGCTCTTTTTAAGCCAAAGATGAGTCTTTTAAGATCCAGCTTTTGAAGGGTGAACACGAGCTGGAGCCAGGCCAAGGGACCTGAACAGGCCCACTGAGGAGAGGGTAGTATGAGATTCTCAGAGGCCCCACCCTTCCTGGAAGTGTGGCCCTAAAACCCTTGGGCCACAAGGTCCCTAGACCCAGAGCACAGAATGAGTACCAGTGAGGCTGTCACTATGGGATCCACTTACCAGAAAGGTCTTCTGCAGCCAGGAGAGAAAAAAAGAGTTCAGATACACTAAGATAAAGAGAGGTAGAGTCTTCTATCTTGTAACTACTCCTGAAATGCCAGCATAGAGCAAGGAGAAGCTAGCCCTGATGTTTGAAGTTCAATTTAAAGAAAAAGATACTATGATAAACACACATGTAAATATACCAAACTTACACAATGACTAGCATATGGGAGAACACATTTACACAGCCATGGCCAAGGGAAATGTATATGCCGAATCATACACATACTCCCACAAAGACACACACAAACACACAGGCAAATGTGTACACTTAGGTAGAAATGGTTGTAATGGCATTCAACTTAGTCGTCTGGTTCCTCCTAAATCTTTATTTTTTTTCCCAACCCAAATACCTAAAAATTTGAGTTCATAAGTCAGGCACAACAGACAACCAACCAGTGTGTTTTGAGCAAAGAAAAGACAAAACACAGGAGTTGTAGAAACGGTATTACACATCCCTCATCTTGAAAAACAAAGTAAACTTTAAAAAAGAATAGGAGACAGAGTCTGAATAATACTATTAACAGTGACAACTAAATAGACAAACATTATGCAAACTAAAAACAGAAGATATACCTTCTTTTCCAGCACACATGGAGCACTTAGAAAAAATAAAAAGCCAAAAAGAAAATCTCAATAAAGTTCCAGAAATAAAGCCCATAACAGTCATATATCTGACTATCTACAATAAAACTCAATATTAATGAGAATTTATAAAATTAAAATCGCAGTCTTTTAGAAATTCAAAGTCACATTTAGAACCCTACTGAGTCCAAGAGAATATCAAAACTAAAATCACAGATACTTAGGAAATACCAACAATGAAGGCACCAACAATTTATGGGATATAGACAAGCCTGTATGCAAAAGGAAATTCAGTTGTAAGTGTTCTTACTTTTATACAAAAAGAATTAAAAGAAATAATCTGGTAATTCAAGGAAAATTATGAGTAGACATGAATATATTAGAAAGGAGAAGAATATTACGATTGATAATTAAACCCCAGAGCAAGCATTCAAAAGACCAATAAAAGAGATAAACATTTGTTTCTTTTAAAAATCTAATTTTAAAAAGTAGGTATACCATTAGGAATAAAGAGCTCAAATTAAAAAATATGGGAAAGAATAAAAGAGGCATCAATCAATGACAAAATCTCAGAAAATATAGATGAGGTAGGAATTTGTTTTTTCTCAAAAATATTAGCTGAAAAATCAATTCAAAAGTAGAAAATATGAAGAGACCAATAACCCTGAAAGAAAGTGGAAGTGATGTCAAAGAGCTACCTCCAAAAAAGATATCAGGCCAAGAGAATTTCTTTGGGAGGAAATTCTCTGTCTTTCAAAGAATAAATAAATCATTCTTTGTTCCACATCATAGAAAAAGATGAAAATTTCCCCCATTTTATGAAGCAAGTTCTCACATACATACACACACAAAAGATTAATCTCATTCCTGAACAGAGATAAAAAGATCTTATATAAAACATTAACAGATTGCAGCAGTAGAGCTGGAATGGTCAAGATGGTTTATTTCAGAATTAGATCTGAAAGTTGCAGGGTATAAAAACAATCAGGAAAACAATCCCACTCATAATGGCCTAAAAGAAAAATACCCAAGCATAAACCTAACCTAAGATGTTGAAGACCTCAGCAATGGAAACTATAAGGCACTGAAGAAAGAAATTGAAGAAGAGGAGAAGACACTAGAAAATGAAAACACTTCCCATGCTTATGGATTGATAGAATTAATATAGTTTAAGTGGCCATTACTGAAAGCAATATACAGATTACATGCAATGCCCATGAAAATTCCAAAATTCCAGTCTTCCTAGAAATGAGAAAAGCAATCCTAAAATTCATATGGAAACACAAAAGACCCTGAATAGTCAAAGTAATCTTGAATAAAAAGAGCAATGCTGTAGGTATCATAATAACTGACTTCAATTATACTTCAGAGCCATAGTAACAAAAACAGCATGTTACTGGCTCACACACAACACACACACACCATGAAGACCAATGGAATAGAACAGAAGATCCAGAAATAACCCCACAACAGCTATAGGCAGCTGGTGGTGTCAAAAACATACACTGTAGAAAAAAACTGGCTATTAAACAAATGGTGCTGGGAAAATAGTGTCCTTATGTAGAAAATGGTATCCACAAAAATCAAACTCAACATGGATAAAAGACCTTAATGTAAGACCAGACACTTTGAAAGTACTACCGGAGAACATAAGCGGAAACACTTTAAGATGAAGGCATAGAGGGGACAGGAGGGGAGGGAGGCAGTTAGTCAACACATGACTTGTAAGATGCAAATCAAAATCCAAAAAAGTGAGAGTTTTAAAATGTATTCCCAAATGAAAGTCTCAATGAATTAAGAATAAATGGAAGCTTTTTTTACATAAAATATTTTAAATATTATAAAATATAATAACTATTATTTTTAAATATTTTAAAGCAATAACCAGCATGTGCTTAGTAAGACAAATCTTTCTCCCTTCTGAGCATTTGCATGGCTCACTCTACCCATAATTTTCATATAACCTTAGACAACTACTTAACCTCTCTGTACCTCAGTTATCTACAAAATGGAAAAACGGCACCAGTTTGACAATTATTGGGAGGAATAAATGAGTCAATGTGCATATATTGCTTAGAATGGTGCCTAGCACATAAATGCAAAATGAGTGATTATTGTTGTTCTGTTGTTGGGGACTAGTTTAGTTTTTTGGCCAATGGCTGACTCCCACAAAATGTTGGCAGAGCATAGTTGCCCACAATCTTTCTAGAAGATAAGCGGGTAGCCTGTTTCCACAACCTTCAAAACATACATGTGGAGGCTACGGGCATAGCTCAGGGATAGAGAACATGCTTAGCATGCACAAAGTACCAGGTTCAAACTCCAGCACCACTTAACAAATTTTTAATGTCTATACACTCTGATCCAGCAGTTCTATTCTAGAAATCTATCCAAAGAAAACAACCACAAACATGCACAAAAAGCAAATTTCACTTAAAATAGTGGCAAGGTGGAAACAAGTGTCAAATGATAAGGAACTGTTTGGGTAAACTACACATCCATATGGTTAAATGTTCTACAACATAAAAAATGATGCTGTAGAAATAGCTATTCACATGGAAAGCTACTCACAACTGATGAGACTTACACAGTTAAAATGAATAATATGATCTTATTTTATTAAAAAGACTAAATCCCAAATGTTCACCATGAATGCCTCTGAATAAGATTATGTTTTTAAATGTTTTGTTTATTCTTTTATTTTTGTGTATACTCAATTTCTGATTTTTATTGTGTACAAGTATTCCTTGCATAACTTTAAGAATCAAAAAAAATTTTTTTTAAAGAACAAGGGCTAGAGGTATTGCTCAAGTGGCAGAGGACTTGATTATCATGA